ACAAGCTATGAATAGGCGTGTCGCGTACCATCATGCACATGACCTCTTCGTCCCGTCACTCGGTACCATAAAAAATGGCTAATGGCTATGGTTATATTTTACCAAAAGATAAAAATCATAAACGATTCATTACAAAGTTAAAATAATTAAGTATGTGCAAAGTACAGATCTCTTGAGCTCTTTCACATCCCATAGTCTCGAGAATCTAATATACAATTCTCTTAGTTCAACCGGTTTTTTACCCTGGGGAGTCTTTAAATACCCCTCAATCTGTATATTAGAGCACGGGGTAGTTGGGCACTGGCAAACGGAGCACTAAGATTTTCTTTTACAATTAAGAATTACTTTGTCATAATATAGATATTTGCATTATAAACTTTGTATTCTATTGTTCTTTGAAAATTCAAATTGTGTGTTTACCGAAGAAAATGTAAGACCAAAGTAATGGATTGCCGACCAAAAACCTCTCCCAGGAGACGACCCGTCTTAGTACTGAAATTTATATGGATCGAGTTTATTTTTACTACTGTCTTTTTCAAACAGATACCTAGTAGTAGACACTTTGTATAAAATTCTCCCATTAAAAGTGATCGTAAAATTCAATGTTATTTGCTTAAGCCAACTTACTAAACGGTAAAAAGGTTCATTATGCAAAAGCAAAAATACTCTTTGAAATGTAAAGTCGCCTACATTTACACATGAAACGCGCTTTCGCCCTATACTGAATAAATCATTTTCGTTGAACTAGGTTTTAACGTATACGGGTATTATTGATATGAATCCTAGAGTTGTTATTTTAAATAGATAAAGTAACGTACCTATAACGTACTATGATCTCATTTTTTTTCTTTCGAAAGTTTACAGAACATGGTTGAAATAAATAAGATGTTATTTATTATTTACTTTCCGGGAACATATCTCAAAATTAAATAAATCTTCACGTAAGTCTCTCGGCTTTGTCATGAGACAAGCAAGACCGTTCAAAAGTGACCTCACATCTCGTCTTTTGTATAATAGTTTTGTTCGTGGCAAGTAACGCCATCTTTTGGAATCCCATTCATTATAATCACATATCGACGTTAGAGAAAATTCAGAAGTCATTTGTTCGCAACCTTTATAGAAAAATTTACGGTTATTACCCCTTACTTTACCCCACTACTTTTATTTTGGGTATGGTCGGCTACAGAACGCTGGAAGTAAGACGCAATCTAGCTCTTATGACCTACATATTTCGCTTGGTGCGTGGAATCTTGTACAATCCATTCATACTAACCATGATGGGCTTTTGGGTGCCTAGGACCAGTCTGGTGCGGCCTCACAGAAGAAGGCTATTTGCTATACCTTCTACACGTTCTAGGGCAAGTGATCTGGCTCCTTTTCCCCGCGCGCTTAAGTACTTTAATCGAATGCTTATCTTTGACTCCTCATTGGACATCTTTGCATGCTCGGAAGCCCATTTTACGGTTTCCGCGGGACGATATCTCGAGTCATTGACCATGGACAGTAGCATCACATAAGTATTGTGCATCCTGAATAATTAATACAATGTTAATGTTTTAAAATTTGATGGTTAATAATGTAATGTCCAATTCCATGATTTGTTATTTTTATCTAATTTTTTATTCAGTTTATTTTATGCAATATATAAAATTCAATGATTTGTAAATTTTCATTCAATTTATTTTGTATCAATTCTTTATTAAGTATGATTACATTATTATTTCAATATATGATGTTAGCTTAAGAATTACTATTGTGTTTGGATATTAATCTGTAAGCAATATGTAATATAATAAATAATAATTAAATAAATAAATAAATTTAAGGTGATCGTATAACTTGTTCAACAAATATCATAACAATGTACACAATCTTATGTTTGTGCGGGGTTATCCCCGCACTAGCGAAACCCAGTATCGTGAATGCCATGGACAAAACTATAAACTTACGAGAGAACTAAATGTAGGTCATACAAATATTTCTCTCGGCCCGAACCTGGGACCTCTGCGTGGTAGTCCAGTGTGGTAATCGTTCGGCCAGGGAAGCAGTTTCGAATTTGCAGAGCTATTTAAAATTCGGTTCTAAATAGAGTAGTATTACATTTATTTTTGCTAGCAAACCGACGTTTCGTGCCCTTTGCTCGTTCCATGCAATGTAAATCACACATGAATCTATAATACATGACAATTATTGAAGAAACTTAAAGTGGTAACAACAATAATATCTATTCCAGCCGCCAAGCAGTAAAGTGAACGTATAAGCAGAATACCGCGTCCCGCTGTTGAATTCATTACAAGTACTTAATAATTATTAATACAAAGAGCGAAGACGAATAAAAATTCATTCGATACGGCTAGATTCAAATCAACACCTTCAAGCAATCTATGCTAGACGCTCTCCCAATTGAGCTACGGAACGCACCAGCAGACTTAAATTTTTCTATGTGCTTGTTGCAGTTGCATACCTTTGTTTTAATTTTTAACCAAATTTTTGCCGTAGCGCCATCTGTGATCTATTTCTTCACTCGTTACAGCTACAAGCGGCTGACTAGAGATGTTCGACCCAGTATCCGTGTTCGATCTTTGTATTATTAATTATAACCAACTAGTAGAGTAATTTCACAAAAAATAATTGAATTTCACGGTAGTAAAATGTTGTGATATTCAATAAAAATTTAAAAATTACATTTATTGTAATCATTGACTTACAAATAAATGGACGACGGGTCTAATACAAAAACCACGAAAAAAATGTCCCAAGTCAACCTATTCGAAATTTAAATTGTTATGTCATCGCAGTATCGCGCTGTCCGTAGAGCAAATGAAGACTAAAGCGGAGTGTCGCGCTCTGTATACGATTTTAGCGCCTTACAAGTGCGGACACTTTTTAGCGCGGACCCGACGTCCATATAATTGTAAGTCAATGATTGTAATAAGTTATTGTATGCACTGTAAATCAACATAATTTGGTATATGTCGCCATCCCCGGAGAAACAAATGATAATCGCAACAAAGTAACATTTCATAATTGTATTGTCATTTGTCGTATTAAGAAACATATCTCATTTAGTTAAATATTATCATATAACCTTATTCCTGTGCACTTGGGCATGGGTAGACAATTAGAATAATATTGTATTAATTTGTTATTTCGTAAGTAACTGCTTAAAAATCACGAAAAAAATTGATAAGATGTATTGGTACCTAAAGATATTAAATATGATATAAGACTAAAACTGTCATAATGGCAGTTATATCTTTGTTCTCCGGGGATGGCGTTGTGAATTCAAAACATTCCTTATTACAAGCTGTTTGGTCAGTTGCAATTTAACAGCAGGTCCTTGTAACAATGACATTTTTTAACTCCTAAGTTTCGTCTTTTCTTCATTACCCTTTCAAATATTTGTATGGATATTTTTATTTACATACATGAGTTTATTAATGATTATTGTGTAGTGTACTACTAATGATATTCTTTGGTGTGCACCCTTTTGTATATCCCAAATTTCTGTACTTAGGTTGCCTGGAAGTACTGTGAAAGTTGCACATTAACTTACTATCTCTATACCTAAGTTATTGTATTTTAATTGTAATATTATGTGCAATAAAGAATATATCATTCATTCATTTTATGGCAAATAATTATTCAAAATCCCTATACACATGTTCAAATTCAAATTCAAACTCAAAATAATCTTTATTTCATAGGTAAGCATTATTACACCTGAAATCGTCACAATGGTTAAACTCTACCACTCATTCGTAAGGCAGATTCCCCTGAGAAGAATGAGCAAGAAACTCTAGGGGTTGCTCTTTGTAAATAACATTTACAATATTTTTTTTTAATTTGAAACATCAGAGATCGAGACTACCTCCATGAGCTAAACGGGTACTACCATGGATTTTTGTCATCCAAGTACGCATAAGATGTATAATAAACCTTTAGTATAAAGTTTTTGTTTCACTATAGTTTTAAAACTCGTGAAAGGCAAATTTTGTATATCAACCGGTGTTTGCACCAAAATGCCAATAGATGGCGCGAGCATCGAGATAAAACGCGCTAGCGTTTTGTCTTTTTCAATTGCATATATAAAATGCATGTTTGTTATTATTCAGTCTTTAATACAAGTTCGTTATACATCGGTTGTTTCTTTTGAGGATCCTATCTTGGCGTTTAACTAGGCGAACAATGGTCCTTCGAGCCGGATTTAGGTTTTGGTCGCGGTCTGCACAGTATAGCGGTCATAGTGTTAGTGTGAAGTGCGTTTCTGAATATTAAAATTGTGACGAAGTGTCTGTGCATAGTGTTAACCTTAACGGATTGCAGTGTAAATGGATTTTGGACTTGGTTAATCGTAAGTCGTAGTATTTATGGTAGAAAAACTTGAACTTATTGTGTTGTGAACTGGAAATCATTTAGCAAAATTTCTTCTCAAGTGAACATTGACTCTTAAGTGTTTGGGACTTGTGTTTTTTTTCACAAAAGTTTGAACTTAGAATAATTAAAATCAGTGAACTTGGAATATTTCGAGCAAATAGAACTTTGTGCATTGTTTACAAAATTTAACTTCATGTTTAATCTTAGTGCAATTTACCTACGTGTTAATCGGACTTGTTTTTCTATACCTATATTGAACTTTAAATTTACTTCAAAATGGAAAAGTTAATAAACGTTCAAGAAGATAGATTCGCACAAATAACCAAGGGTCAAATCAACTTCTATAAATCACCGAAATCCAGAATTACATTGAGTTATTTGGACACGCGTTTAGATAACCTAGAAAAAGTTTGGCTGTCATTTAAAACAACTCACGATGAGGTTATAGCTAATACAACGAAAGAAGATCGAACTAAATTGCTATATTTTCATACAAGTTACTTACTGTCACCTTTGGTACAGCGTCAGCTCCATATCTTGCCGTCCGAACACTAGTGCAAGTGGCAAATGATGAAGGTCACAAGTACCCTATTGCAGCTGAAATTGTAAAAAAATCATTCTACATGGACGATCTGCTAACCGGAGCAGCCGATGTAACTCAAGCCGTTAAAATTCATGACGAAGTATCTAATCTATTAAAAATGGCCGGATTTGAACTTCAAAAATGGTCGAGTAATTCAGAAGAGTTCCTGGAGACAATCAAAGAAAACACAGATAATAAAAATCAATTTGAAATAAAATTCGATAAAGTTATTAAGACATTGGGATTATTTTGGGACAGAGTTGATGACAAATTTAAGTTTTCTATTACCTTGCCTGATGATAAGAAATTTACAAAACGAAGCGTTTTGGCTGAGGTGGCGCGTCTATTTGATCCGTTTGGGTGGTTGGCACCAACGATTGTAAAGGCCAAAATCTTTATACAAAAGCTATGGTTGTGCACGTCTGGATGGGACGAACCATTACCTACACACCTGAAAGAAGAATGGCTACATTTTCGTGGACAATTACCACAGCTACAAAAAGTGGAACTGAATAGATGGATATTTATTGACTCAAAGGTTGACCGGGTGGAGTTACATGGTTTCGCCGATGCGTCCACAGCCGCCTACGCCGCAGTTATTTACATAAAAGTTGTACGCAAAGATGAAGTGAAGGTCTCGATCCTTGAAAGCAAAACTAAAGTAGCACCATTAAAACAAATTTCAGTACCCCGACTGGAACTATGTGCCGCTGTTTTGGTGGCAAAACTGCTCTCGGAAGCTGCAAATATTCTGAAAATACCAAAACAGAATATATTTGCGTATACTGACTCGATGGTGGTACTGGCCTGGATCGAAGGTCAACCATTAAAGTGGCAAACCTTCGTAGCAAATCGTGTTACTGAAATACAGAACAGACTAGATAATGACCGATGGAACCACGTGATTTCCGATGACAATCCCGCAGATCTGGCATCGCGCGGCATCGAACCAAAAGAACTGAAAAACAAAAACATTTGGTGGAATGGACCAAAATGGTTAATAGAAAACAATGCATTACCTAAAGAAAAGAAAAGAATTTCAGAAACAAACTTAGAGAAGAGAATACAGCACACGAAGACATTTCATGTGGAAAAAGAAAAATCAGTATGGGAAGGATACTCAACCCTAATTAAAACAGTACGAGTACTTACCTATTGTAGAAGATTCCTGAAACTAAAAGAAAAGAAAACAGTTAGAAAAGAACTACCAAATTACTTAACAAGCGAGGAAATGAAGGAAACTCTAAATAAATATATTAAAACGGAACAAGAAGAACATTTTGAAGAAGAAATAAAAGACATAAAAGAAAAAGGAAAGATAAAAAAAAGAAGCAAGTTACTGGCATTATATCCTTACCTGGACACTGAGGGCCTATTAAGGGTTGGGGGCAGAATTCAAGCGGCAGACGTTCCAGTAGACTACAAGCACCCAATAATCATCCCTAAAGATACTCACCTGGCCATGTTGTTGATCAAAGACGCACACTCGAAGTTACTTCATGGTGGAATGGCCCTCACAATGAACTACTTAAAGTCTCGATATTGGATTATTGGCTTGAAACCGTTGATAAAGAAGCACTACCGGGAATGTGTTATATGTGTGAGACACCGAGGGGCTACAGTGCAGCCGCAGATGGGAGATCTCCCAAGGGTTCGAATTAGCCCTGGAAGACCTTTTCACGCCAGTGGCGTAGATTTTGCGGGACCAATTCAGATGCGTGTATCAAAGGGTAGAGGTCACAAGGCCTTCAAGGGCTATATTTGTCTCTTTGTATGTATGAAGACAAGGGCAATCCATTTAGAAGCAGTCAGTGATCTGACGAGCCAAGGTTTTATAGCAGCTTTTCGCAGATTTGTATCGCGTCGTGGCCATTGCGCAGATCTGTACAGCGATAATGGTTTAAATTTTGTAGGAGCTGCAAAGGAACTAACCCTGATGCTCAATCACAGTATGACAGGGGTACTCAAAGAGATAGCAGAGATGATAAGTAATGATGGCACTACTTGGCATTTTATACCACCAAAGGCCCCAAATTTCGGAGGCCTCTGGGAGGCCGGAATAAAGGCCGTAAAAACACACCTGATAAAAACAATTGGAAATTCAACGCTAACGTTTGAGGAAATGTCAACTCTGCTCTGTCAAATCGAAGCATGCTTAAATTCAAGGCCAATAGGAAACTTAACAGATCACCCGAATGACATGGTATCATTAACACCCGCTCATTTTTTAGTTGGAGAACCTTTGATAACCATTCCAGAAAAACACAATACCGATGAATTCATTAGCCCGTTAAACAGATGGAGAATGCTACAAAAAATGTTGAAACATTTCTGGAATAGGTGGTCCAAAGAATTTCTACATACACTGCAACAACGCCACAAGTGGCAATCGAAATCAATCCCTCCTCAGGTTGGAGACATTGTAATAATTAAAGATGAAGATCTACCGCCAACTAAATGGTTACTAGCGAGAATTAAGGAATTACATACTGGACCAGACGGTGAAATAAGAGTTGCAACACTTAAATGTAAAAATTCTACACTTAAACGTCCGCTATCAAAATTGATTTGTCTACCTAGAGAGCAGTAGTACCAAGATATGGTTCCCCCATTGTACAATGGTGGGCGGGCGATTTTAAAGAACAGTGTTCTTGGTGGGCGGAATGAGAAGTGTAACAATGTGCGACAAATACAATTCAATATTCATTAGT